AAACATTTATAGCCTTTGTGACTAAAACTATAGCCAACGAACACACATAAATAAGTCTTCTTGGAGAATTTTGATTGATTTTGGTATCGCATGGAGGGAAAGCACTAACATCCAAGCACCCGCAAGCCATTATAGTCGGGATGTCGATTGTAGAGCTTGTAATAGGGACTAACATTTTTTAAAACCGAGAAGGGCAACCTGTTTATGAGATACACAACAGTGAGAAAGCTTTCAACAAAAAATGATAATAACAATTTTGCATGAAATAGCTTAGTCAATCCAGTTTCTACAATGTGACGATGCTTGCGTTCAGCTACTCCATTTTGTTCAGGAGTTCCGAGACAAGAAAATATGTTATTAAATGCCACAATTTGAAAGATGATTAATAAAATCAGTAGAATTGAATTCTCCTCCACCATCACATTGAAAGATTTTAATTCGTTGATCAAACTGATTCTCCACTAGTTTTTGGAACCTGAGGAAGCAGTACAAGAAATCTGACTTTCGTTTTAAAGTATACATCTATGTAAACCTTAAAAAATCATCAACGAAAATGACATAGAATCGAATATTCTAATTAGAACTCAAAGGGGTTAGCCCCCAAAGATCATAATGTATGTATTTTTCCTAGAGGAAACTTAGACACTTTATTTGATTTATTAAAGGGCAGTTTACAACTTTTACCTATTTGGCAACTAACATATAAGGAAAGTTTAGCTACTAGATTGAGTAACATCAATGACTTTTCTTTCTTTCAACAAGGACAAAGTCTTCGAATTTGGATGTCCAAGTCACTGGTGCCAAATAGTGGATGAAGTGCCACCTTTTTTTTTTATTATCTTTAGTGCCTTCTGACAGTTGCCATTTAAAGCATATAAAAGTCCCCTTTTATGCCCCCTCGCGATTATCCTTCAATTCCGATCCTTAACAACAAAATCACAAGAGGTGAATTCAAAAGCGCATAAATTATCTAAAGTAAAAAAGTATCACCGGTATGAGATGTAGGCAAACAATTTCCATCCCCAACATATATCACATCACCACTACTGTAGGGCTTAATGCAATATAATTTACCTGCATCATTTGTCATATGTGATGTAGCTCAGGAATTAACAACGAATGATTGGTCATTGGAATCATATATGGCAAGAGCTTGAGGAAATTATTCAGATTTATATGAGTAGTCAAAACGATACCAACAATCAATTGCACGATGATTTTGTTTACCACAAATATGGTAGGGTTATTTGCCTCATTGGAATGTTGTTGTTGGTTTCTTTCGTTGGCTTGTCTACTGTTATTGTTCGACTGCTTATTGCTGGCTTGAGTATTTTGGCCTCCACTCTGAGCATTGTAACACCCGGTTGGTGTAAAGCCTCTGCCACGCGAATTAAAATTTCCTCTGCCTCCTCTGTTGTTCTAACCATGACTGCGTTGTCCAACGAAAGCTTGTGAATGCTCTATGAATAGTTTTTCTTCCTCCTTTTAGGCAGAAAGAGATTGTTCATATCCTTGTAGGGCTAACACACGAATGGATAGATTCTAGGAGTTATTTTTGCACAATAAATCACAAGTGCTAGTTATCTAAAATAATGGAAAGTTAACAAAGATGTTTTTGGAAACTTATAAAGATGTATCCAAGATTATAGGGATGTAATACTTGGTTGGGATTGACTTGTCATTGTGATTGTTAGCTTCCATATTTACACCTGTATTACTATAATTATGGGAATTGGTCTCCTTAGTTTCTTTGTTACAATCCAATCCAATTCAATTTGGTTTTGTACACGTGGAATTGATTCTGTTAAAAATTTATTTGTTATTTCAGTTTAGTTTAAATTTTTATAAAACCATTGGGATTAGGGGTGCACACGGTTCGGTTTGGTGTCGGAACCGGTCACAACGGTTCCTTAAAAATGGAACCGGAACCGGAATCATGTGTATATGGAACCGAACCAAACCGGTTCTCACGGTTCCCCACCTATGAACTTTTTTCCTGTTGTTCCCTTACACTGTTCCAGTGTTCCCTTACTTATTTGAAGGCTTTGAGCCTTTGAGCCCAGTAGGCACATCTGCAAAAATAATTAAATAGAATACATTCATACAATAGCAAAAATAAAAATATAAATAAATACAGAAAATAAAACTTCAATAATATTGGATAAGCCGTGTGACCGAGGAAGATGATGAAGCGGAAGAAGCTGTGTCGCTGACTGAGATGGTGTGTGGGGTGTAGATCGGAGAAGCCTTATTACTGTGTCGTTGACTGAGAAGTCTGAGTTGCCAAAATGGTGTGTAGGTGACTAAGAAGCCATGTCGAGAGGACTGATGAGAGATGAGGACGGAATATGAGAGAATGAAAATAGTAAAGGACTAATGACTGATGAGGATGAAAAACTTGAGGAAGGGAGGCGAGGGCGAGGCGACTTCAAAGTTCTATCAGATGAGAGTTGAGATGAGGAGGGAAGGCGAGGGTTAGGTTTAGGTTTAGTCTGTTTAGATAAGAGAGAGTTGAGTTTTTAACTTTTTGTGGTTTAATGGTGGATCACATGTTGGTATAATGGTATGACTGACAATTACTCAATTAGTAAGTATGTTATTAATAATATATATATATATATATATATATATATATATATATATATATACGGTTCCGATTCTCAACGATTCCCACGGGTTTGGAACTGGAATCGAAACTGTAAGCCCACAGTTCCTACTTTCAGAACTGGAACCGAAGCCACGATTCGGTTCAGCTCCACGGTTTTTTTGTGCACCCCTAATTAGAATTAGTTTGGATTTTATATCTAAACCTTGATCTGAATTATGTGCACCCAGTTATAGATGTCAATTGGGCGGGTTGGGCATTGCTTTCCCAACCCATCCCACCAATAAAATATTTTTTCCAAATCAATTCGGAAAGCCTTAATGCTCATATTAAAATTTTTTTTTATACCTGATCAAATTTAAGATACAATTTGTATATTTATATTTTTAGTATAGTCAAATATTTAACAATTATAATAACAAAAATATTGTTAAAATTTAAAACTATAATAACAAATATTAAATAAAAAAATTATATATTAATTATTAATAAGCCGTTATGTGTTTTGCCGATTTTAAATTTTTTTTTGGGCAAATTACACAAACCACTCTACAGGTTTCGTCTCTTACATTTGGTTAGAAGTTATAGCAATATAACAAAAAGTTCCACCAGTCATTTTCCAAACTTATTATGTTATTACTCCTTATTTGTTAATTACTCAATACTACCATGCTACAACCTCATGCACAAACTCATTGCAACCAAAAAAAAAAAAAACATACTATGGCATAGTGTGTTTCTAACAGTTTATATACCACCATCACATAGTTTCTCTCCCCCTACATTTTTTCAAGGGTAATCACATTCATATAGGTGCTAAATATATATATATATAATAATAATAATAAAAAAGAACCACAGTTTCTTAATCTCATCGGACAGTTTTTTTCTCATGCTTGTTTTCTTTATATTACAATTATATATTTGAAACCAATTAGATATCATAGGGGTTAAAAGTTAAAATTGAAATATAAGTTCTTAATATATGTATGTATATATATATATATATATATTTTTTTTTTGACTTTTACTTTAATATTTTAGGTCATCACTTTTTATCATCTTTTCATACATCAATCTTACTTTATGAGAATTAAAACTTTTAAATTTTACCTTACAAAGTTGAGAAGAAATCATTGCAGAAAAAAACTCAATCTATTTTATTTATTAAAATTTAGTGCTCCTTTGATAAGAAGGAAGTGGGGTGGAGAGAATATACTAAGGATGAAACAAGCTTTCCTCCTTTGGCAGGGGAAAAGCAAGGAAGGAAGTGGAGTGGAAGAAAATAGGAAGGACAAAATAAACTTTTCTCTTTTGGTAGAGAGAGACAAGAAGATAAGAGAAAAGATGATGGATAGGACATCATTCATCATTTACAAAATTTCATCCCTTCAAATATAGACTGAAAATAAAAGGAAAAATCTAAGTCACATAAAGCAGGAGCGGGAGCGAGAACAAATTCAAGAGCGGGAGCTGAGAATGATAAAATTAAGTTATAAGTAGTGAGAATTTGAGTAAGAGTGTGGAAGCGGAAGTGCGTTTCGAACGTAAAAACGACACCTACTGAAAAGGATTGTGTGACTTAGGGAAGAATGACAAAGTTTTCATTCAACCAAACTGAAAGAGGGAATGCCTTGATATCTTCTCTATGTATTTTCTCTTTCTTTTCCATCTAATTTTCTTCATTCCTACGAAGCATTAAATATTTTAACTAGTTGATTCATTCTATATATATAAAAAATAATAATAATTAAGAAAACAACTTATTTTCTAATAGAATTGCATGTCTAACACATCTAATACAATGTCAGATTCGAAAAACACCCCTATTCGTAACACTTATAATTTAAGTAAGTGTATAAATACATTAGGTTATATTATAATATATTTAATTTAAAATTTAAATTTTAATAAATTATACTTATGCATTTACTATCAAGAAAAAAATGAGAAAAAGAGGGCAAATTTTTATTTATTTTTAGATAAACATAGTTGATTATTTAAATTAAAAATATATTTTTATTAATTTGTAAAAAATTTATGATGTCATATTTATTGATTAATTATATGTACCTAGTTTATTTCTTTCATAATTATTCTTTCATTATTTTTAAAATTTTATTTTATTATTTTTAAAATTTTATATTTATTTTATTATTTATTTTATTTTCTTTTAACATCTTTATAAAAATATAATATAAATAAATAAATAATATGTGTATATATAGCTGAATTTTTTTCTTGTCTTGAATTTTTAAATCGGACAACTTATTATTTACGTACTTATTATATTAAAATTCTTACTTTTATTTTATTTTATTTTGAGCCGAATTTGTATAACTTATTTTTTTTAAAAAATCGAATTACATCCGTACGTTTCCAAATCCCTTTTTCCGTCGTACCCTAGTCTACTCTACGCTCTTCGGAGCCGAAGCTCATTATACCTAATTTCTACCTCTCACTCTACTTCTCTCTGCAAACCCTAGACGAGCCATGGCGATCAGACACCTACTACTCCTAGCTCGTCGCTCTCACAGACCCTCACGAACTCTCTCCCAATCCCTCCGCTCATTTTCAACGGCCGTCGCCACCGCCACCGCCACCGAGTCACCACTACCCTCCCCTCCGCCTCGAACCGCCATGATCTACGACCGACTCGCAGAGTGCGTCAAGGACAAACTCAGCGAACTCGAGAGCCCTGACCCGCGTTTCCTCCAACACAACTCGCCCCATCCGATTCGCATCGACCACACCCCAATCCTCTCCTCCCCTCTCACCCGCGTCACCACCCTCCCCTCCGGCCTCCGCGTCGCCACCGAGTCCAACCTCGCCGCCAAGTCCGCCACTGTCGGCGTCTGGATCGACGCCGGCAGTCGGTTCGAGAGCCAGGAGACCAACGGCACTGCGCATTTTCTCGAACACATGATATTCAAGGGCACTGAGAGGAGGAATACGAGGGAATTGGAGGAGGAGATTGAAAATTTGGGTGGGCATTTGAATGCGTACACTTCGAGAGAGCAGACCACTTACTACGCCAAGGTTATGGACAAGGATGTGCCTTGGGCTTTGGATTTATTGGCGGATATACTACAGAATTCGAAGTTCGAGGACAAGCGGATTGAGCGAGAGCGCGGCGTGATTCTGAGGGAGATGGAGGAGGTAATGTGAATTGGTAGAGTTCGTGTATTGATTGTGATTTTTCACATGCTAGAACGGTTTGATCATTTGATTGATTATGCATGTTCTTGTGCAACGAAAATATACAATTAATTGCTTTAGGATTATTTATGTTTCTTATTTTGGTTATGTTAAAAAGTTTGGTTATTTAAGTGTTTCTGATTTTGTGTTATTAGTTCGTTGGGTTCTGGTGAAGGTTTATTTGATTTATTTATTTATTTTAATCATGGGTGATAATTATTGGCTTCTATAGCCTGGGAGAATAGTGATTGATAATCCATTTTTAATTTAATAATGTGTTTCTGGTTTGGCATTTTTGTATTTTGGGTATTTTTGAAAACGTTCATGTATTTTGTTTTTAAGCCTACCTTTACAGATGCTTTGTATGGGACCTATTATGCAATTTTCAGCAAATAAATATGATAAGAGCAGGAATGTGCTTTTTGAGGTTTTTCTGATTCATGTAGATCAGGGATACTTTCTCCTAAAATAATACAATAACCACGAAAGACAAAAGAAATACATTACTTTAGTTCTGGTAAATAATGGAGTCAATACCCTAAACTTATATATTATGATGTACAGAGTAAAATCTTAACATTATGTGCATAGTACTCATCCAGTACTAGACAGATGAGTGCCATGAATGGGTTTGTGAGGCAGTTTTTCTTGTTTTAATTATGCCACACAGACTTATCCATACAAGCAAGATGAATACGAAATCATATTGTCCCTTGGGCTGTTATAGAGTAAATGTACATTATTTTTCGAAGACCAAATAGTTTTTGAACAATCAAAATGTTGTATTTTCTAAACTTTTTTTTTTTTTTTAAAAAAAGAAGAAGAGAGGTGTTCTATTTTTGCCATATTAGGTGGTTGAGTAGCTAAAATCAATGCCTTATTGTTGATGGACCTCCTTGTGCTTTATTACCTTTTCTTTGCATAGGTGTACTAGGAGACACAACAGTGTAACAATCCGATTAACTGACAGATGGAATGACAAGTCTTTGAGTTTTCTTTAGTGCTGTCATTATTTAATCAGTTATGCGTTGTAATTTGATTCGAAAAATAACTGATATTTGAACTCTTGCTTATTAAGTTTAAAGGGGTTTCTACTTGTATTCTTTATTGTAGGTGGAAGGACAAACTGAGGAAGTAATTTTTGATCATTTGCATGCAACTGCCTTTCAACACACTCCGTTGGGTAGAACCATTCTTGGACCTGCTGAGAATATTAAGACAATCACCAGAGATCATATTAAAGAATACATTTCAAGGCATTACACTTCTCCCAGAATGGTAGGCCTAAACTAGTGAGACTTTTATATTGTTTTAGTTAAAAGCATGTTGGCTTCTACTCCATTCTGTCATTAAGTGTTCATTTATGCTGAATCTGACTTTAGAAATCCTCAACTTTGGTTTTCTATTGCGGCCTTTACTATAGGTAATTGCTGCTTCTGGTGCTGTTAAGCATGAGGACATCGTTGCTGAAGTACAGAAACTGTTTACTAACTTATCGACGGATCCAACTACAGCTTCTCAGTTAATTGATAAAGAGCCAGCTATTTTTACAGGATCCGAGGTGGGCTTATATTATTTGAGTACCTCATGACCCCTTATTTTAGGCAATAATTTGTTACTGGAAAGGTTTCTACACTGTTCTTTTTTGATACTTGTTGGGCATGAAAACCAGGTTAGAATAATTGATGACAATATGCCTCTGGCACAATTTGCGGTTGCTTTCAATGGAGCATCTTGGACAGATCCAGATTCAGTTGCTTTGATGGTCATGCAGACTATGTTGGGCTCCTGGAATAAGAATGTAGGTGGTGGAAAGCACATGGGGTGAGTCTTTGCCACTTCATTTATGGGGCTTACATTCCTAAATTGAATTGTCAGTGTTGTATCATTACCCATAACATTTCATCTTGTGACGTGTATTGATATTTGTAATGATCCGTGGACAGTTCTGCGCTTGCACAGAGGGTTGCCATTAATGAAATCGCTGAAAGCATGATGGCTTTCAACACCAACTATAAAGATACTGGGCTATTTGGTGTTTATGCTGTTGCTAAGGTGAGATCACTCACTAATTTAATCCATTTTTTCATGGTTTTCTCCCCATCTTCAAGCTATATGATATGAAAGGTAGAACGGCTTCTAATTTACTCAAAACTCATTTCTGTAAGTTCATTAGATTTGTGCTTAAATTTTATCTATGATTCTTTTTTTGAAAATGAGGCTTGCTGTTACCATAGCTCTGCTACACACTTTTAAGGAAATCTTAGCAACATATATGGAAGTATGGAGAAATTCATTCAAGTCAAAAGGTTAAATAATTAGTAGAACTGAATAAAATTGTATGAAGTGTAATATAGTGATCATTTTTGATATTTAGGATCAATAATATAAAAGGACAGGTAGATAGAGATATTATGAGTGGACAGATTGGTTTAAAACGAAAACGAGCTAGTGTTGTCCTGCGTGGTAAGAGAATATCAAGTAGTTTAAAGAAAAAATCTATATATTGTCGAAACGAGAACATTGGGATGGATAATAATTAGCTAGAATTAGAAGGAACATAATAAATAATCAACATGTTAACAGGACAAATTGTGAGTGCCTGCCTATTAGTAATAAAATAAGAGAAACTAAGTTTATTTAGTATAGAAATATATAACGTGTAGATGCATCAACTAAAAAGAGAAAAAAAAAAGAACATTGGTTAGTGTAGAAAGTAAGAAATTAAGATGCGTAACATGGTATTAAATAATAAGAAAAAACCTTAATAAATTAGTTTTGGTGGAATATATGACTTGTTAAAGAAAAGAGCGGATGGAGAGAGTTTATGTGGCTGACCCCATTTGATTGGGAACAAGCAAGATGACAATGGTGCTAATATCAAATTCTCTCTTCTTGGAAGGTTAGCATTCATTTTGTCCTCTTTTCTTTTTTGATTGCTTTCATGTCCATTTCTCTAGTGGGATTAGTAAGTGAAACAAAGTTAACGAATAGAACTACGGGTGATTTTTCCTTGAATCTAGAATTTAGGTTTAGAGAGTCCTCTATAAACTGATCTTCCTTTAAAATTCCATAACTTTATATTTTTTCAAGTTTATACTTTCTGTTGGAGTTCTATTAGCAAGTTTATACCCTTGCACTCCTTATCACTGACTTATGCCTCAGTAATTATTATATTAAGTCCACATACCTTTTCCTTTTCTTTCAGCCGGACTGCTTGGATGATTTAGCCTGGACAATTATGCAAGAGATGTGCAAATTAAGTTACCGTGTTTCAGAAGAAGATGTTGCTCGTGCTTGTAATCAGGTACTATTTCTCCTACTTTCCCTTGATAGTAGCTGCTTTTACAACTTTCTTTTTAATATTTTTAAATTAAACCCAAATACAGCAGTTAACCCGCATGATCTGTAGTTGGCTATGCCCATCATGAGAAGGGTTTTTACTAATATATATTTTTCTTCTTCTTCTTCTTATTATTTTCATAGTTAAATGTTCTCTTGTTTATGTGAAAGCCTTCCACTTACCATCCTGTTGATTATCCTTATACAGTATACATTTGGCTAAGTGTGATTGTAATATGTTAGGTTGGAATTTCTAATTAAAGCGTTGATTTGCTTTGTCCATATTCTACTACTTTAGTTATTTTTTCTGGTTATGTATAGCATTTGGAGCAACATATCATTTTTTCTATAAATGAGAAAGGAAGACAATTGGTGCTTTGTTATAGAGGGGAAACTTATGGTGATACTTTCACACTAAGCTTGTGATGATACTACCACGCTTACTAGATTAGCCAAACTAACTTCTGCTCACTCTTGGATAAAAGATTTTGACTAGTGTATACCAGTACAAATTTTGGTAGCATTTTGGTTTGTATGTTAATTTGATTATTTTGTTGATTACATAAACTCTTGGCCACAAGAAATAATGTTGGCACTGGATCAATTCCTGCAATTTAGATGGTGAACTGAAGCATGATGTTTCTGCCAAGAACTAGTAATGTAATTTCCACACTTGGTTGTTCGTTACACAGTTTGTGTGAAAGTAATGGTAAGATAAGTAGGTCACTACCAATTGTAGGTTCTACCAATGCAAGGTGCTGCCTCTGTGATGTTTTTGGATGATTGACTTGGTATAGACTAACTTTTGCATTGTTTGGAAAGAGTGCCTGTCCTTAGACTAACCGTCCTTATCATGTTTGACGGCCTGACTTTTAGCATGGCATCCGGAAATGATTCCTGCTAATGGCAATGTATAAATGTTGAAAACAATATATAGCTCATAATGTTTTTAAATTAAACATAGTCTAACTGTTATATAGAAAAATGAATTAAGAGTCTAGCACAACCTCCTATTTCATGAAGAAAACACGATTTTTTTCCCTGTAATTAATTAGAAATGAACACCTTTGTCAACTTCATAGAGGCAACAAATTATGGCTCGGCCAACAGTATTGTTGTTACATATTACCTGATAATTATTTTAAATCATTGGCTGTATTTTGCTTCAAAGTATGGTGACTTTATTTTTTTAATAGATTTTCAGTGTCATTTTTGATAATTTAGCGATGTCAAGTATGTGGTTGGTATCTTAGGGTTATTGTAGGAAATTTTCATTTTCATCTAAGCCTATTTTTCTATTTATCTTCCAGTGTTCACATAGCTTTATCCACATTTTAATGTGTTCTATTGCAGTTGAAATCTTCTCTGCTGCTTCACATAGATGGAACCAGTCCTATTGCTGAAGATATAGGGCGCCAGGTACAATTCCTTTTCAAAACTAGAACATTTACTTGGAAGGTTGGATATTTGCCGGTGTTCTTACAGTTTTTATTTATTTATTTATTTTGATGGGGGAGGGGGGAAGAGGGTTAGCTCAGGATGAAACTTAAGGTGTTCAATACAAGCCTACAGGTGGACAGTGAAGAATACACCCTGTTGACAATACATTGAACTCTCAAGGATGAGCAATCCTTTAATAAGAAACTAAATTTCTCGAGGCTTATAAGGACAGTTCCTCGTTAGCAGATTTTAGTGTGTGTATAACATTTGCATACAGAAAAGCTTTAGAAAAGATCTGGCATGCTCAATAACATTCTATAAAATGGGGAATGACCAGAACAGTGTTACATACTATGTTACTTGGACTCAGGTACGGGTGTCGGACACGGGGACGTGTCTAGAGGTCGGATCCATCTATGTATCAAATTATAGGTCACAAGGATACGAAATAAAAGTGTCCAAAACTCGGACACGGGTACTTGGACACTTCATATATGTTGTAAAGGAGGGAGTACTCTTGTTAGTTGTATACCATTTAGTTTGCACCAGTTAAATTTATATTTTTTATTAAGTTTGTTTTTTTCTCTTTTAGCAACCACATTATCTTTTACTGTTTTAGCTCAAACCAAAAAGAAAATAAGAAAATAACTTACAAGAGAAAGTCCAAATAATAGCCCAGTTCAATGTATTTTATAATTGAAACGCCCTTACAATTTAATGTCCAAATAATAGCCCAGCCCAATGGATTATATTATTAAAACACTCTTACAATTTAATGTCCAAATAATAGCCAAATTATAGCCCAATGGATTATATTATTAAAACACTCTTAAAATTTAATGTCTAAATAATAGCCCAGCCCAATGGATTATATTATTAAAACATTCTTACAATTTAATGTCCAAAGCCCAGCCCAATGGATTATATTATTAAAACACTCTTACAATTTAATGTCCAAATAATAGCCTAGCCCAAATAATAGCCCAAGCCCAATGTATTAATGTGTGCACAATGAATATGTGTTACAGCTATAACCCAGCTGTAGTCCACATATAATATACACGTGATAAGTGGCAGAGTATGAAAAGAGTCAGCAGTGCGTGAATATACTCTCCACCAAGAACAGAAAATCTGCTACAGCTGCGCGTGAAAAAACATCATCTTCAACTTTCCAAAATCCTATCTACGAACCAGCCGCCTCCACAAACTTACGGAATACATCCGATCTAACATAGAGGCTTGAAAAAAAGTTCAAATCCCTAACAAGCATCCACGATACAATCTTCTATGAGCAAGTCTTCATCAGCCGTGTCCGATGTTGCGAATGGGTGTCCGACCCATAGCCCGAGTCGGTGTCCGTGTTGACACGGACACCCTGGGCTAATATGCCGAGTCCAGGTAACATAGGTTACATCTAAGAAATTAAAGACAATTTTTTTTTTTTTTTCCCCCGAGAGATGAAATAATAGGTAGAAGGGCCACCTTAATATCTTCCAGCTTTGTATCAGTATTAACTGTCTTCATTAACCCCCTTACCTTGCATAGCTAAAAAAGAGGAATGCAGATTTAAGCACCATAAACAGTGGCATCAAGATTTGTTTCTTCAGTCCTTTTGACTGGAAGCTACGTAGCCAAGTATATTAAGAGACGATTCAGTCAACATGAGACTGATTTTTCTTTTCCTCTTCTTTTTTGTTTTTGTTTTTGTTTTGTTGTTTTTGTTTTCCTTATTCATTCTTTGGACTGAGCTAATGAGAGATTAAGCTGAGACTGGATTTTTGGAACACATCATCTAACTAACCAATCCTCTAATTTACATTACAAAAGTTCTAAAGACAATTTTCTCATGTAAAGTTGATATATGGACTTCAGCATGGGGTTGCCAGATGAAAGACAGCAATGATTTGTTGGTTGTGGTACAGGGAAGCCACAAAAGTAATTATTTGATCTTGTAAATATGAATCATATGATGATTAGGTTGGATGTCCAATGTTAAGATACACATTTGATAAAAAAAAAAAAAGGATTTGATTATTTTTCCTAAAATCCCATGTGGGTCCAGAGAGGTAAAACCCATGTTATGTGGGGCTTAATCATCTTTTAATTATTGTGATTTTCCTGTTACTCCGTTACATCAAATTCATTTTTGTTTGATAAATAGGCTTTGTCCCTGGATTCGGAATTTCTTCTCTGGTGGAATTAAAAGATATTGTGTCTGGATGAATAATCCATTTTAATCTATCTTGTTATGACTTGTCCGGTTCCCATACATTTCAGTTTAAGCAGGTCAAGTATTTGTCACAATGGAAGAATCTTTTCTGCATCTTCCAGATGGCAACTTGGTTTCATTTAACACGTCCAATTGGGAAACTAACTTCCTCTTTTTCCTCTTTGTTCCAAATTTGAGAATTAGATACGCATCAAACAAAGTTTGTTCAGTTCATTCCTGATTTTTTTTTTTCGGCTGATCTAACATTTTCCTTTATTGACGCTTAGTCTGTTTGTGCTTCCAGCTACTTACCTATGGGCGAAGAATCCCATTTGCAGAATTGTTTGCTAGAATTGACGCTGTGAATGCCAGCACCATCAAACGTGTTGCAAACCGTTTTATAAATGACAGGGTAAGGACTACAATATATTCTGACCTCACATATTGCCATATAAAGTACAAAATTTTGATATTTTCTGTTAGTGTCGATTTAAATATAATCCTAAGCTGTCTTGGATCTTACTTTTGTTTTTGCCAGGATGTTGCTATTTCTGCCGTAGGGCCCATCCAGAGTTTACCCGACTACAATTGGTTCAGACGCAGGACCTACTGGCACAGTCACTAGGTTTTCGTTTCATTTCTCCTCCGCATTTCTTACATTCTTAGGCCATCTTAAAAACATTTTGTTGCCTTACACACGGCCATTTTCCCGGAGAGCCTTCAGGGCTGGCCTTCAATTTATTCTTTTGCTTTTCAGGTTTTTGTGCCTGCACCATGGCCCAATTTTAGTCCAACAAAAATAATTGTGCTGTATTCAGTAATTTTTTGTTGTGATTTATGAGACACTAATCCATTTTGATAATCTTGCCTCTTTTTATAGAAGGGTAAATTATACTACTTTTGTCTGTAGTAGTCCACTCTTCCTTTCCAAATTAGTTGTCCCTTTATAAAAGTCAGCAAATAAATGTGATCTTTCCATCATTGCCTTTTTTGCTTTCAAAGATTTTTAAACTTGGTAATTATATCTATTTAAACTAAGAACTACAAGTTGATAATTTTAAAATGGGACAATGAAATTGACGCAACAACTAACTCTAAAATAAAAAAACTGTGGACTTCCACAGCCTCTCTCCCCTTGCAACCGAGCCAGTCTCTCTCTCTCCAAAGCACCCACAACGCTCTCTTCGTCAGCATCCTCGAGTTCTCCACTCTCAGAACAGCCCTTATAACATCTTAGGGTTTTCATCACCTCATCTTCCTCTGCAATCCCCAACAGACAACAATCCATTTATTAATTCTAACCCAAATCAAACAAACAAGTTCCAATTAATTCAATGAAAGAACATCATGATAATTTCTCTCGTATACTTTCAGCTGCGGTAATATATCACATCCATTTGATCATTCTTTCCACTAGATTTCGTTCACCCAACTACCCATTCAACAAAACTATTTTTGAGAAAAAAATGTACCCAAACTCCATATCGATACTGTTTTCAAGAATCACAAATTAAAATTCAAAGACAGAGACCACAAATTCTTTAGCAAAAATCGCACAAATATATAGAGAAAGAACAGATCATCCTTATTTGCCAATTTTGGCTTGCTCATTTCATTGCAATTTGCGTGGTTCTAGAGAGGGAGAGAGAGTCCTTTCATCGCATTATTAGAGAGAGAGAGAATAGGGAAGAAATTTTAGCACATGGGAAGAGGGTTGTGCGTTTTTAGTGGAGGAGGAGAAGGCGAGGAGAGATCAAAGAGTGGTGGGGTTGTCAGGGGAAAGGAAGGTTGTGGAGGTCCAGCGAATGAGGGTTCCAGAAAGAGTTTTTATTTCAGAGAAGTTTTTATTTTAGAGAGAGATCCGCTGCTAGTTTTTGTGCCGTGTATTTTCACAAATCCCAATAGTGGTTAATAAGAGAGAGCTCGTTAGTAATGTTATGAGAGTGCTCTCGTAATAATATCATTTTATCACAGTTACCTTCCTCGTGTTGAATAGATATTTAGTGCGTCCGGTGCACGGTGCACCGGGCTAATCAAAGTCGTATGTGATATGCACGCGATGTTGGCGCGTGCACATAACGAACGACTCTGATTAGCCCGGTGCACCGGGCGCACGCTGATGTTGCAAGTTTTTCAGCTATATTGACAAATGTGTCATTCAAATTGGGAGTATAATTGTGTTTTCCTATAAAGTATTAGTGTCTTCAAGCAAAAAAAAAAAAGAAAAAAAAAAAAAAATGTTAATTTCACTGACATCTCCTCAAGTTTGGACAAATATCAGCTTGAGATACCTTTTAAAAAATGCCATCACTCACACCTCAAATCACTTTTCTCAAAATGGGTATGATGACATTTTACCCTCATTTTTAATGCCTTTTAATTTAAAACATCTTAATTGTATAAGGACAAAATTATTCCCATCACCCTCACCCTCGCCCTTCATCACCAATGATTTTTTATTTTATTTTATTTTAATTGTTATTGATTTTTTCATAAACATTTATTTTGGTTCCCTTTTCCTTTCCTCAGAAGGATTTGGAAAGAAATGGAAACAGAGAGAGAGAACTTAGAAGGCTATAGTGAGAAAGTAAATAGAAAATTGAGTCATATATATATGTGTATATATACACATATACATATGCATATGGTGTTTCTTTGGCAATTCTGTTCAATTCATCGATGAAAATTCCTAGAAATTTCAATCTAGAACCCAAGCGAAATCGTCAATGCATGTCTCTGGATTTCCCGTGGGATCTCAATTGGTTTCTTGAATTCGTCATCATAGCGTTGGTCATTGCCTTTAGACTGCTTCACCTGATGAAGAACGCGATATTAAAGTACTTTGTCGTCGATGCCAATTTTGAGTTTTCTGACCACCAAGTTTATTAACCAAACCCAAATTTGTTCAAACCCTCATTTGCTCTCTTCATTGATTGAATTCACAAACCTTAATTTTTCATTCAGGGTTTGTTCCTTTCTCTATAACATCAACACACGCCAAACTTTGCCCTCCCAAAAGTCCAACAAGAATAATCAAAAAGAGAATGAGATACCCTGAATTTCTCTTTATTTCCTTTTTCAACTCTTCCTTAACTACAATTTCTTCCGAGACACAACAATTCATCAGAACACCAAATCATACCACTTGTTCTTAACAGATCGATGTCATTGATGGGTGTGTGTTCGACAGAGATCTGGTGGTAAAAATATGAGGGTGGGGATCGAGGTGGTGGTGCCGCTTAGTTGTTGGGTGTGATGGTGGTGGTGGTTACTGCAAACGATTGTGGGGTGAGGTGGTAGTGATGGTGTTGCTACTGCTGCGACGGCTACCGGTTACGGTGGTGTAGGAGGTGGTCGTTGGGGAGTAAACATATTGCCTCAAACATATACGAGTATATATATATATATATAACTGTAAATTTGTAAAATATTTAGGGATAATATAGTCTTTTAGTATATTTCTTCAGGTTAAAGAGGGTTTTTTTTTTTTTTTTTTTTTTTTTTTTTTTTTTTTTTTTTATATAAAGTCAAAGGGAAGTCATTTTACATCGTGTTAGAGGTCTAGAGGTGACGGTTGGGGTGTGAGTGAAAGACGAAACAAACATTTGCAATGTGGGTGATAGTAATTTTCGAAATTTGTTTTAATGTGATATTTGACAAAACCTCATGGTGTCGCTGAAATTAATCCAAAAACAAATTTGTAATATAAACGGTGATCATTTATTCAGGGAGCTAAGTGTAATAAATTCCAACTATAAGGGAGGTAAGTGTAATTTAGTGAGGAGAAAGAAAGGTTGTGAAGGTCCAGAGAATGAGGGTTCTAGGGAGAGTTTTTATTTCAAGGAAGTTTTCATTGTAGAGAGAGAAACGTCGTTAGTTGCTGCATTGTATATTTTCACAAATTCCCATAATGCCATCGATCGGGTAGCTAATAAGAGAGAGCTTGTCAATAATACAAGCGCGCTCTTGTACTAGCATCACTCTATCACAATTACCTTCCTTTTGTCGAATAGATATTCAGTGCATCGTGCACACGTTGATGTGCAAGTTTCGGTGCAAGTTTTTCAGCCTCATTTGACAAACGTGTCCTTCAAATTGAGAGTATAATTATGTTTCAGGGGAGATAAGTGTAATAAATTCTAACTATGAGGAAGGTAAGTGTAATTTTGTTAATACACTTGTCTACTCTATTAAACACTAAACCTTAATCCATTACATAATCGACAACCACACAAAATGACAAAGAAAATAAAACAAAAAAAGAACCCCACTATTGGTCCACAATATAGAAAACAAGTGGGTCATAAGGTGAGCAATATGAGTGATTAATCCATATCATGAATTAGCTAGAGGGGCCACTTAGACGGTGGTCTCTACCGACCGAAAAACAAAAGGAATAAAGTATACAAAATACACATAGTACACACAATACTAGTCACACCATGATGGCTCACAGAGATGTGGTGGTGAATCAGAAAAGGTGGTGTTATCATAGATCGTTCATTAGTTTAGTTGCAAGGATGTTTTCATCAGCTGTTGTCCCTCTAAAGTGAGAAATTATTGTGAGGCTCAAAAGAGACCACCATGTATAAGGACATGACTCTACCATGTTTATACAGGACATGACATTCACACATATTGCCCACTCACTAATTATTGTACTAATTTTGTGCCAATTCAATTGTAAATATGTTTACGTAAAGTCGATGAATATCGTCGGCAAGCACGTTTAGTCACTTATTGTCAAATGAGACAGGTGTTTAGTCTCACTTATCAGATTAGACAACTCTTATTACGAAATACATAGACCATATATGAAGCAGACTAATGTCGTCTGCAAATACGTTTAGTCACTTGTTGTCAAATGAAACACTTACCAGATTAGACAGGCCTTATCATGAAATACATAGACAGTGAAGTTTATTAATATCGTCAACAAATACGGTTAGTCTCACCTATTGCTAGATGAAACATGTCTGGTTGTGAAATACTTGAATTAGCAAATGCGTTCAATCTCAGTTGTTGACAAATAAGACAGGTCTTGTTTTGAGATACATGCTAGTTCACTTTATTCAACAAATTAGATCAATTAAACAATCATAAGACTTTATAATGATCAAGATAATGACTTGTCAAAAGAAATGTAGAAACAATTAAAAAAGTGTTCATAATAAATACAAAAAAAGAAAAAAAAAAAAAGAAAAAAAAGAAAGAAAGTGCTAGTATTGTGTCAAATGTCATCATTTGATCGAAGGAACTCTTGTCTTCTACCCACTTCATCAAATTATTAATAATATCTCTTCTATTTCTCAAATGAAGGGTTGAGAGTTCAATTATGCACGAATCCATCTTACTGTGTAGATATTGTCTGTTTTACATTACTTTTTATATTCACAGTTTTCAAAACCTATCTATTCGGTTACGAATTATTTACATGTGCAAGTGTCAACAACCTCTCCCAGCGATGTAGGACATCCGGACTAACTTTTAGGACACCATCTCGGATGGAATTGTTGTGTGGAACAGATCGACAACTTTATTGTGCAAAATCTGACTCTGGTAATAGTCTTCCATGATTAATAATAAGAAGAATAAGATAGACAGAGTCACTATAAGGCACATGCTTGTTAGGGATATAAAGGAAATCACATGAAAACAGGTTGTAACAAATCTAGTAATTCAACTATACTAATCTGTTAAAATAGTAATTAACATAAGAAGTGTATATATATTAATGTATATATATAAATATTTGTAGAGAGAGAGAGAGAGTGAGTGCAGACACAGGATCAGCACTATGCAGGGAATGTGCAGAACATGGTGTACATATTTCATGCTGCTTCACTGTCTGCACCTTTGCCA